ATGTGATCATGGCTTGAGGACACGCTTCTGAGTGGTGCCCGGAATGACCAAATGATTGATCAAACGATCATCAAACTTGACATGCATGAGATACGAGCACAAATCCTTCAAATTTCCAGTGGCAACGGCACGACGTGACATCACCCATTTGACATAGGAAACTTCGCGCTCTTCCTGAGAGAAGGCAAGCTCACTGTAGCTCAAATCATCCTTGGCAAACAACCCGAAGCAGATCATGGTGCGGCCCCACATCTCCAAATCGGTCACTCCAGTTGGAAAGGGTGGCAAATCGCCAACCATGGATGCCGATGCATGCTCCATGGGGAAAGGCACCTCTGTGCTCACTGGGCTGGCATAGGCAGGCTGTGTTACAGGCAAGCCACTGGCCATGTTCACACGCTTGGATTCTGGCTGACCTCCATCGCCATCCTCACGACGCTTGGAAGCATCATTCATCGCTCCCATGAACATTGCTCCAGTATCATCCCAGGACTCGGTCTCATCATCCCAAATGTTGTGCGACACACCAGTCGTAGGATCAAACATGTTTCCGGTTTCTGAGCCATAAATTGGCACCAATGACCCACGTCCGGAAGGGCCAGCAGCGGTCTTGGCCTTGGCCAACAGACGCTGGAGCTGCTGATTCTCCGAGGCAGTCAAACCTGGAGCGGCCATGACGATCACAAAGAAATTGCACAAACAGATGGCAGGGATATTCGAAAATCACTTTACAAAATGCAAGACAACTTGCAGGCTGTGCGAGCGAGGTCGAAGCTATGTGCTTGAGCTGTTTGTAAATACCATGCAAAGTGGCAGTGAAACAAAATTGGCAAAATGCCGTGGCAAAAACTGCAGCACTCTGATTTCTCACAAAAATGGGTGTTTGGCAGAAAGCTTCCAGTGAAATGGGACGGTCAAGAGCAAGGCTTAAAATAGATACCCTTATCTATTATCCCTACTTATTTACACGCTATTCCCATTCATTAGGCTTATGCTTATTCCCATTTAAATCCCTTGAGTCAAGTGCTTCATCTGATTCCCACAGATGCTTCCCATGGGACTCCATTGCATTCTGTCGTTTTTGGGCTTTCAAGGCACGCTCTTCGGCTTGCTGTGCTAACACATGCTCTTCTGGGGAGATTTGGTACGTTCCTGCTCGCACACATGACCTGAGCAAATATATGGGATCTGCTTTGTCTTTAGTAAGTCCATCTGCAATCATGCGATTGGTTGGAAGCCATCTCACTTGTGCATGAGTTAGCTTGATAGATTCACGAATGATGACAATATCTATACTTGTTCTTCTGTCATCAACAGCTGTAGGTGATGACGGAGAAACCAAATGATCGTAAAGTGACTTGCAGTCAGTTGCAAAAATTGGAGGTCTTTTGGCAAGCAGCGACCTGCACTCACGAACATTAAATCGTCCTTCTAGAGCTTCGGCAAGGAGCAAACTGAGCCACTCAACTGTTCCTGTGGCAGTAGACATTGCCTGGCTTTCCCCTCCCAAGGTAGAGCTAACTGCACGTGGCATTTTGTAACTCTTCCACACCACAGGAGTCCAGTTAGAGATTTCTCCATGATGGAGTTTCTTTTCAGCAAAACCTACTATGTACCCAGCCTGTGTATGTGTGCCAACGTTCGCAAAAGCCGCATCAGAGTGACAACAAATCATGAGATCTTGAACAGGAATAGAAGACAATTTGATCTGCAGATCTTTATGCTGTTTGGCTCTGCGGATTGCTTGATTGGCTTCTCTTAGATTATGAATCTTTGGTTGCGGAAAAGACTGTTGGAACATGCTGGTCTGCACAGCCAAATCAGGGCGACTCTGCGATGCAATCCAGTTGAGGGAGCCATTGATAGCTCGCAAAACTCGAATTTGGCCTGGATTCAAAAGCTGATCAGTCTTGGCATGTTTGGGAATGGAAGCAGGTTTGAGCTTCTCTGCAAACAAGCGCTGTGACATTTGAATGGGGCTGTCTTTCGGATCTTGAGTGTAAAATGAACCACAAAATTCTCCACTTCCAACACGCCACTTACGGTAGGGAAAATGTTGTTTCAACAATTCGACTGCTTTGTTGAACTTTGTACCTTGACCACCTATTGCAGTATCGTCCACATTTACACCCATGACTCCAACAAGTTTGTTAGAAACGTCATCACGTAGAAAATACAAACATGGATCAAGTTTGGATCGTTCCCAGCCAAAACCACAAGCTTCTTCGTCAAAGGTACGATACCATGCCAAAGGCGCATCGTTCTGTCCGTACAAATTTCCAGTCACTTCCAAAACTGCATCATGTGGCACTCCGGGAATGCCACCTTTTGGTTGTGATGCAAACAAAGGACGAAACTTGGCAGGAAGAGGTCCAGCTTCCAAAAATGCCCCTTTGATATCTCCAAGTTGAAGGACCCATTTGTTTGAGGAAATAAGTTGCATTACCAACATACGCCCCATTTGACTGCGAGTAGGGGATTGAAGCAAGCCGGTCTCCACCTTCTTATCCAGATCAGGGTCAAGGTGTCCTTGCAAGCACCAGCGGCTCTTCACACGAAAAGTCTGTGGATCATCCTCGATCACTGGTTGGTTTTCTTCCAAAGCCTTTTTGACAATGACAAAACGACTACCAATGAAACGGTCAGGAAACTGATTCTTGAGATTTGCTGCATGTTTACCATAGTGAATACGAACAGCTCCTTTGTCAATGATAGTCTGCCATTCAACCTCTTTAGATTCATCAACCAACTGTTGTATATCATGAGGATTGTTGCACGGTGACATCTCTTTGGTGTTGCGTCTTTGCATGTATTGAGCAACAAGAGTCTCAATTGATGTGTTGTCATCTGACATGAGATCACTGAGATGGTTGATGTCCTGAACAGAAAGGGTTTCCGATACCGAACCAGTTCTAGGTCTTTGTCCTGCAGGTTCATCACTTGGATCACGATTTTCTAAGCTTCTCTTGGGGTGCATGGACTGGTCAATTGACAGAGCCGCTTCTTCCACCAGTTGTGGAACGACTTCACGCATCATCTCGGCAAAATCATCAGCATGCATGGCTGGTGGCCTATACAACGCTGGTGGTCCATTCTTTTGATGAACTCTTCGCAATGGACCATATGTCGAACTTGATGCAGCCTCAGGTCTGGGATCAGACGACTGACTACCTTCAGAAGGTTTATCATCTGGTATGACATGTTCCTCAGGAATTTGAATCAGAGGGTCTGCAAGTTGACCTGGTTCCATCGGGGACTTGTCAATTTGGCCATTTGCAGAACTGGCTTCAGAACTTCCTGCAACTCCGGGATCTGCTTCCGCAATGGAAGGAGTGGCGTCATCTGGTTCTGCCATGGTAGGGTAATGTCCAGGAACAAGATCAATGAACTGTTGACTGCGAAAAGTTCCACCTTCAATCATGTCCTTAATACCCAACAATTCAGAATTGGGAGTGGTCACCAATGTTTTTTTCTCTTCAGAAGTAGCAGGACGAAGTTGTTCAGGTGCTGCTCTAAAGATTTGTTTTCGATGTGCAATGACATAGTTTTTCCCCACATTTCCAATGACAACTGCAGTACCATACCATTGTCCACCTAAGATGACATGACCCTGTTGATATTTTTGACATCGCCAGTAGGCCACAAGATCTCCAGGTTGGAACTGTTGGTTGAGTCTAGGTCTGGCCGAATAGGCCCTGCGGAGAGCTTGATCGTCTTGGGTTTCGGCAACAGCTTTACGGGCTGCAGTGCGAACAGCTTGAGTGCGGGCTATGGCATCATCGCTAAGACTGGCAGTGGCTGGCACAACATGTAAGGGTTCACTCAAAAGATCGGCTGGAACTTCGGGATTCTTTCCAAACACGTGCTGATGAGGAGTGTATCCATAGGATTGGATCATGGAGTTCTTGACGTGGGCATGCAACACACATTCTTCCCATTCAGTCTTATTGCTAGGCATGAACTCAGCCATAGTCCTATCAAGTACACGTGCAAACCAGCCTCCATGATTTTCGGTTCGACCAAGCTGCCAGTGAGCTTCGCCGGCAATCTGATGCACATGACAACCCTGAGAGTCAAAATAGCTCTGCAAATACTCTCCCAAGTTGGTACGGGCTTGATCGATGACAACTTCCTTGGGGGGTCCAAAAATTCTGACCCAGTGTTCTGCCACTAAACGTTTGATAACCTCTGATGTTTCTCTTTCGTGAAAAGGGATCACCAGTTGATAGCAGCTAGCTTGGTCAACTAAGTTCAGAGCTTTAATCTTCTGATTGGGTTGCCAACCATGAAGAAATTTTACATCAATCCCAAGACACTGATTGAACACCGTCGGTCGCGACGTCTTTGCTGGCAGTGGCACATGCGGACGAATTTGGGCTCGGCAAAATGCACAAACATGTTTGTGGGCTAACCGTACAGCTCTCTCGGATGCATGGGCATGCTTCAGAATACGTACCAAATCTGACACTGGTGGATGACCCAAATTTTTGTGAACCTTGTCAATCACGTTGAGAAGTTCTTCGTCAGATTTTTCCTCTGAGAGATCTGGTTTGGCGGCTAGCACCTCTTGTACGGCATGTGCAGGCCAATCAGGACTTGGCACCAACAGTCTTCAAATCTCGGTACCTGGGAACAGTTTCCATAACAGCCTCTACGAATTGCGGAGTATACTTGCCAGCAAATGTGCTGATCTGGCCTACGGTCTTGTCGCTTCCGGCAACTGTCTGATGACAGGCATGCTTTGGATTGGACTTCCCTGGACACTGTCGTTCTAAGGTTCTCATGTGTTCATGACTCACTAGCAACTGCGTGGCTTTGCGAATGAAATGATCACTTCCCGGAACCCTGAGGCCAAATCTACACATGTGACATGACAGCAGGTGATGTGCATGGATCAATCTTTGGACTTCGGGATATGCCCATAGTCTTGATCCTTTTGGATGCTCAAGCAACACTTGTCCACCAGCTGCAACTTGTTGTTCATAAAGGCGAGAACAAAATCAAATGAACATGCGACTACGACGAACCCTTCTAATATATTCCTGGGGGTCCATGTGGCAAGCATTCAAATTGAACCAACCGCCTTCATCAGTGCATGGTGGGCATAGGACCAAAAGATCCGGTGGATTGGTCCGCAGCTCTTCGGCTACGGAATCACGCACTTCTGCTTGAGAAAAGTCGTAGCCTGTCTTGAGATCGTATGATTTGCACTCAGCATCTAAACCATGAATCAGAGGAGCAAAACGCGGAGGACAAAACACCTCAGCCACAAGAAAAGGTTTGTTTCCTACACTAGGCTTGGACTCCTCCACTGGCTTTTTCACCTGAGCTTCTAATTGACGGATGCAATGCACAGGCAGACACTCAGCGGTGATCACCTTTTCCTGGGGAGAGAAATGAAACTCTGTTGTGACATGCAAAACCTCTGCTGGAATGGCTTGATGATAACATTTCTTTGGACGGCTTGGGGAAATCCATTCATCAAACAGTACATCACCTGTTTCACTATTGACTACTTTACGTCGCTTGACAGACTGCCAAGATGGACCCTGCTTACCCGAAGTTATTGCCCTGGAAATAAAGGAGTCATTCCTACGCCAAACTTGCAATGGTGCAGTCGGTCCTTCGTGATGTGTTGTGTCCTCTGGAGAGTTCACATCGCTGGGCACATCGTCGGGCGACGATTGATCAGGTAGTTCAGCTGCAGGCACATCGTTTGAGCCATCCTGAGTGGCTACCTTCGGATTCACTTCGTTCATCATGATCTCTTGGAAAGACTCAGAGGATGTCTCCTGATTCAAATCACTCACAACACTGATGATATACTGTCCAGCTTCATTGGTGAGAAGAGGGACAGTGGCCTTGCTCTCAAACAAATGCATCTTGTTGTTACCAAAATCCACAACAGCTTTCAGTGTTTGAAGTGCACTACGTGAAATCAAGAGAGGAGCTTGTCCCTTGACAACCGCAGCCTTAATGGTTCCAGTGACACCGGCGATGACCACTGGAAGTTTCATGACAGTTTCAGATGTTTCTCTTTCTCCATTGCCATACTTGAAGTGGTTGATCTCACGTGCAGGTGGTGGCACTTCGATGCCACGAGCAGTCCACATGTGTTTGAACTCTTCCAACGTCGATTCTCCAATGATTGTTCTTCCGCAACCACTATCGATGACACCGAAACCAGGAGAGCTCACCAGAAAAATTTCAGGCTGAATGTCTTTTGACACACATGATTCAGCAAACTGCACTTCACGAGCGGCACGGCGAGACTTGAGAAGCCTCAAAATGCTATGTGAATCATCCTCACATTGAACTGCAGCTACAAAATGTTCTTCGACAGTTTGCACCAAAGCAGCACCTGAGTCGGAACCCTTGGCTGAACTATTTTGTGCTGATCCTCGACCCTTTCCCTTCTTAGATTGTTTGCAGTCTCTGGACCAGTGTCCAATTTGATTGCAGCGATGGCAGCGCGTCTTGCGCTTGAGTTCTTCAATTTCTACGCGATAAGACCTTTTCAGGTCTTGAGCAGCTCCAAAACGTCTCGATCTCTGCATCTTTGACAACTCTTTGCGTTTGTCTTTCCAGGAAACGGCAAGGGCTTCAGCTACCTCTGCCTCCTCATAGACATCTTCGTCATCACCTTCTCCAGGCAAGAGAGTTTCATGTTCTGCCAGAAAAGATTCTACCTCCTGAAAAAGAGGATCATCCTCGTGTTCTTCAGGCATAGGTGGATCATGTTCTATCAATCCAGCTCCAAACATCTTTCTCTTTGGTGCTGTAAACTCGGGATAACACGACCTCATTGCTTTTCCAACAGTCTCACGCTTCATGACCCCACCGCTACGGGCCAAAATAACAGCCTTCTGCTCATCATTCAGGCCTGAACGATGAAGCAAAATCCATCCTTTTGCCTCTTCCGGAAAGGTGACTTGGCATTTTCTACTGCAACGGTCAAACAGCTCAGTGGCGCGGGAAATCCACACCTTCAGAGATTCGCCTTCGGCAGCTTTCAAATTGAAAACCTGGGTGAGCGTCTCACTCATCTCGTCACTGGCATCCTTCTGCGGAAAACGTTCATCCAGCAAGGAAAACAGCTTTTGCTCACCATTTTCAACTTGGTACTCACTTGGCTCTAGATGTTCAACACACTCTAAAGCTTTTCCAGAAAGCAAAGTGTACACATACGCTCCACGAGCTTTGGTTGACACCTTGCTATCTAAGGTAAGAAGTTTGTTCGTTACCCAGACCTTCCATCTCTTGTACTCTTTGCCATCCTCGTTATCTCCAGAAAACACTCGCGACGATCCATCGGCTGAACCTATGGCACCGGCCATTGTGCTCATGTGACACACGCAAGCCTCCTGGCCTGCGGAGCCTCCGGAGAGGCTCCGCTACCAGTATTAAAACTGGAAGCGGTATCCTAACCGCATGAACTTCCTAGTTCAACCAGTTGGGCGCCTTTTCTCGCCTCGCCTGAGAAGCAAAGGATCCCTGCGGAAACGCACATGTCTTCCTGACATGTAAATGATGGACAGTGCTCATGTGACAGCTGAATTAAGATATATATATATATATATTTTTTTAAAAAATATAAAGAATTACTAAGACCTCAAATGGAAGATGTTCTCACTTCAGTGTTTAGTTGCTAGTATCCTACTAATATCTTGTTTAAGTTGTTTTCTGAACTTATTCTGCTTCAAGTTCCACTTACTGTATTTTTTATTTGGGGTTAGTACAAGATATCAAAGATATAATCAGATATAGTTGAATATCATTCTAAAATATCTATATAAAAATATTTGAAAATATCTGAAAATAAGTTCAATGCATGTTTTCTTTTTTCGATTGAACAACAGAATTGGATTGCAACAGCCACCAAATGATCTGAGGTGAAAATGGTTGCTGCCCAGGAATAGTTGGAGAAATAGATACCTGAAAACTATGGTTCCTGTTAAGGAAAGTTCCAGTAAAGGAGATACCACTCTCCTTTACTGGAACTTTCCTTTACAGGAATCATGGTTTTCAGGCACTCTCCTTTGCTGGAACTTTCCTTTACAGGAAGCATAGTTTTCAGGAACCATCCTTTGCTGGAATTTTCCTTTACAGGAGCCATCCTTTTCAGGAATCCTGCAAAGGAAAGTTCCAGTAAAGGAAAGGTACCAAAACGGAGCCTACTTTAAGCCAATGTATATTGAATAAAGGAGTTTTCTGAAAATTCAGGTTCTTGAAAAGGAAAACTCAGACTTGAGAAAATCCAGACAAGTCAAAATCCAGAAAAGTCAGAAAATATTTAAATACTAGACAACTCACAGCGTCAGACATATCTGACCCACCCTCCCTCCAAGTTCTCAATTTTCAACAGCTGGTGAGTCATGTTTGTCTGCGCTTCTTTCTTGGCCTGTCAGTTTCGCCACTGGACCCATTCTGGCTCAGTGGCTCAATTTCAAAGCCTGTGCGCCCATCTACGCCTGACTGAATTCCCCCCCAATCTGGTGTGGGTGGGTGGGAAAGAAATCCCATGGCTACTAGTCAGTAGCCCTTGCAGCCAAAATGGCATTAATTTCATTCATTGAATTTCCACCACCTCCATGTCTTTCTTGTTCTTTGTCATGCGCAAATGTGATTTGCTATACGACAACTCACAGCGTCAGACATATCTGACCCACCCTCCCTCCAAGTTCTCAATTTTCAACAGCTGGTGAGTCATGTTTGTCTGCGCTTCTTTCTTGGCTTGTCAGGTTCGCCACTGGACCCATTCTGGCTCAGTGGCTCAATTTCAAAGCCTGTGCGCCCATCTACGCCTTTATGACTTGTCGCGCACGTTTCCAGAGCGCAGCATTTGGTGCACTTCAGCTTGTCCGTGACGGCCCCAGATACAAAGTAGAAGTCTGATGACTTCAGAGCGAAATTCCACCCGCACGCCGTTGTCCACGAGGACATTCCCAAATTCCAAGATGCTTTCGTCACCAGGTGTCTTGGGCGGCCCTTCCATCCTCTTGCTTTTGTCACCATCCAAAGATATCGGGGTGACTGTAGAGAATGGAGTAGGCCTGGGACGGGTTGACCTGCAGCTGGAACTGGAATCATGGCCGTGAAGGCGGGAGTGGATGGTGCTGCCACGCCTGGCTGTTGTTGTTGTTGTTGTGGAGGTGCTTGGTCCTTCACGACGTCGTCCACCCTTACCTCCTCTTGGGCATGTAGACCCGGGACGGAGATGGCTTTCTCTTGTAAAGCCTCCTCTGCATACTGGAGGACCACATTGGATTTCCACCTCCCGAGAAAGGCTAGCTCTTGAATCGGCAAACTACATAGCTCCAGATCTCCTGGGGCTATGTCCAGAAACTTGCTCACCCAGGTGCGCCTTCCACGCCTTGATGTTCCCCGCTTTTGTGGTCTCCTTCAGATTGTTCTACGATGAGAACAAGGCCGAACTCGGGAGAGCTCCTTTTGCTCTTGCGACTTCAATCGCCTTCCAACCCAGAGCCCATGGGCACATAGGTGAGCAAGGACTCTTGCCACAACACCTGAGGGTGCGGCGAACGCCTCTCCCTTCTTGGTCGCCTTTTGAGGTGGGTAACCAGATCGTCACCCACCTGTCCTCTCCTGGGAAGGTGATGTCCTGCAACTTCATCTTGCGGAGCTCGATTTCCCTCAGCATCCACACTGAAGCCCAGGCGAAGGCTAGACGAGTTGTTTCCGGGAGGCCCTTGCCCACTGTTCTGGCCTCCAATGCTTCAGAGTCCCAGGAGGCCACTCTCACCTCAGCAGCTCTCACAGGGGGGCCTCTAAGCCTGTCCAGAGCTTTCCTGCAGAGGTCAAAGGTCCTCTTCAGCCAAGCCTCTACCTCGTAGCCCGCTTCCACATGCATGAGCTTGAGTTCTATCAGGTACTGGGAGCCAGATTTCATGCCTGACTCTTTGAGAGCCGCCGCGACCGACTCTACCAACTCCTTGCTCAATGGCAGGATGCTGTTCCTCCCACTCACCGATTTCGCCAGCTTAACCACCTCCGCACGCTTGCATGCCCGGGATCTCGCTGATGTGGCTGCGAAGAAATTGTTTCGGAAGATAGCTACCTTCTTCTGGAAGGAGCCCATCTTGGCGATCCTGATAGCGTCAGCAACTGAGCCACCCTTCTTGCTCTCCCGGGCAGGTTTTCAAAACTTTGAGGCCGTTCAGAGCGTCGGTCACGTGTCTGTCCCCCCACCAAGGTGCTCAGCACTTCACCATTCATAGTTAAGCTATGGGCTTGGCCAGACTGGAGGATGCCCATGTCCTTCTGTCCGGTCAGCACGTTTCTCCCTGGGCTGGGTTTTCCCTGCTCTGTGTTGACCAGTGTTTTCTGGCCTCCACTTCCTGGATCACTGGTTGAGCTCTTTGAGCCATGTCCAAGAGGATGTTCTTCCTCACGGCCTTTCTGGGAGTGTCCAACTGCCTTGGCTTTGGGGAGGAGCCAAAATAGGTCCCCTGGTCCGTTTGTGCGCTCTGATCCCGAACCAGTGATGGGACTTGGATTTGGGGTGAATCCTTCTCCTGAATTTTCTCCTTCAGCTTGGGCGCCACTCCCTGCCATGTGGTCCAGAACCGCGCCCAGATCAATCTGCTGCCCCGTACCATCGCCGTGCCGACGCCGTAACAGCAGAGACAGCATAGGGCACACCCAGCCAGTTGTGCCCAAGACAAGGTGGAGTCGTCCTCCACCTCGTCAAACTTGACAACTTCCATCAATGTACCCTAACATGCTGAGGCAAACTACCGGGTTCAGCACCGACAAGGGGGAGCGATCCCCGATCCCCCGCTCAAAATCCCTTGTTTTGCAACCCGACATCTTGTCACAGGTTGTCAAAGACCTGCAAAAGGCCTGGGGTCTTTCCCCACAACTCCGGCTGCACCCCCGGAGGAGGCAATCGGCTATCCAGCATCCAAGCCTCATTCATGACTCGGGCCTGGACATCGCCTAAACCTGGCGGAGGGCCCTCCTTATCAGGGCGAGAAAGGTGGTCTGCCACCACGTTCAACTTGCCCGCCAGGTGGTGGATGGTCAGCTCGCCCATGCTGTGGGTCTCCAAGACCAGGCCCAGCTCAGCGCCCACCCAATTCAGCGTTGGGGTAGAAGACGAGAGCTTCTTTGAGACTGCCAAGGCCACCGTGGAGTCTGCCTTCAGGAGGATCTTCTGATCACGTAGTTTGAAGACCCAGTACCGAATGGCCAGCAAGACTGTCCACGCCTCCAAGACGGCCTGTGCAGATGGGTCATTCTAGGATGCCCCGGGGAGTTAGAGAATTTATAATGGATTTATATTTATCGTAAGATGTTTAGAAGTAGAGTTATAACTTGTGTAGCTGGTCTAAGTACATGCTAAGTTAATGGTTTGGAAGCCCCTGACTTAGCTACAACTTAGCTACTTATAAGTTCATGAGTACTAAAGTATGGGTAACTTAGGTTAGACTTAGCTCATACTTAGGTTAGTTATTATATTGTATGTTTTTTGGTAATGTTTTTGCAAGGATAGTATGTTTTGCAAAGTGGAAGATTATTTTCTGGAAAACAGAACAGAAGTGATGTCCAAAGAAATCGCCTGATCCTACGCAGCTGGGTTCAAGTTTTATAATTCGTTGCTGGCACAGCAAGTTTTGTTCCTCAACAAACTGATCCAGCGGTGCCTGAAAGAAGATTGGGGTCTGGTCTGCCAAGAAGATGGCATCGAGCAGCAGACCATTTGTTGCTTCGTCTTTGGCGGCTGGACAGATCAGTGGAAGCGCTGCGAGGTCCTGCTGGACAGTTATCACATAGAGATATTTCAGCAGTCCATTGCCAATGATCTGGTCGAGCTGCACCAGTGCACCGACCTCTTGCCCGAGGCCACATGGATGGGCTCACGAGGCCCAGAAGCAAGTAGAGAATCTAGTGTGTGATGTGCCTGAGCTGCAGCAGCAGAACCGCAGAATAGAAACGCAGTGTGACCTGCCCAGAGGAAATGACGAAGTCCGCGAAATGTCCGCCGGAGTCCGCGACTGTCCGCGGCTCCTGGGGAGGTATGGGTTGTCCGCGTGTCCGCGCAATCTAAAGCAATCTAGCAGAACGTAAACGAATATGGGAATTCTTAGCTTTTGAGGCATGTCCGCGACCTGAAACTCACTGGAACTTGTCCGCGGAGTCTGGAGATGAAATCTTGTTTTTGTATGTTTTTGTAGCTGTTTAGGTTCAGCTGGGACGCGTCCCGCCCCTCTTGTGTTGCTCTGGAACGTTTGCCGTCTGCGATGGCTGATCCTGCTGCCGAAGAAGAGGTCAAGCGTCTCACGAGTACGCTCTGTAATCTGTGCTATGGGCTAGATAACGGGAGGGTACACAGACGCAGTTTTCCTTTCAGATGATGTTGCATGCAAACTTGTCAACTTCACGCAAACAGCTTCCACATTTGTAGCAAAAGTAGGCATGTATCATAGAAAGACAAATAAATGCGCCAGCAAACTCACAAAGTGGCAGACAAAAGGTCAAAGCCATACTTGCTCGAAGCCATGTACTTGGGGGAAAACGATGACGCCACGGTCGCTATGCTGCTTTAGAAAAACACACTGCGCTTCGAAACCACTTGATGAAATCATACAAAATGTAAAAAAAAACACCCAATCACATAATATAACCAAAAAACACATTGTAGAACTTAGCACACTTACAACCGAACTTAAGATGAATTTAACAACATTCTTTTTTATAAGTTCGCTAAGTTCATGTTAACCAACTTATAACTTCCTAAGTCACCCGGGGCCATCCGAGAATTGTGTTTGATGCCCAACGTCGCCGCCATGTTCCTGGTGACTTTGCCCTTCACCGCTGCCAATGGCACCAGCTCCTGGGTTCCGTGGTTGATGGCGGACAGGACTGCGCCCAAGCCCAGGGGGGATGCGTCCGTCGTGATGGCGGCCTCGTCAACCAGGGGGGCTTTTCTCGCCCGCCACACTTCCTGTGCCTCCAGCATCTTGAGCAGCCATTCTCTGGCCAGGCGCATTCTCTTTGCCGGCACGAGACCTGACTTGTCTCTTTGATCTTCTCTGGCGGCTGCCCTTCGAGCTTCGGCCCCCGATGCCACATCGCGCTCATGGTCTGCGATGACACCGTAGAGGATGGACACCGCCCACCGGCACCGCGGGATGATCCCCGCAATCCAGCTCAACTTCCCCGTCGTTGACTTCAGGGATTTCAAGCTGAGCATGGAGTCCCACGTCCTCAAACGCAACGTGACCTCCGAAACCAACTTTTCCGGAGGACTGAGAATGATCAGCTTGTTCACCTCGTCGACCCCGATGTTGACCCCAATCCACGAGAGCTTGGTGCCCCTCTCCGCCTTGCCATAGGACAGCTGCAAGCCGAAGGCATGGGCTGTGTAGATGATCATGGCCAGAATGGCCTGTCTCTCGTGTGGCGGTCCCTGCAGGACCATGAGGGGGTCGTCCATGTAGCATTGGATCTGACCCTGGGAGTCAGGCATCATCGCCTGAAACAGCCTCATTGCTGCTGCCGAGAGCCGGCCCATCACCAATGGCGCGCCCTTGAATCCAAAGCTCATTGCCTGGAACAGCACCAGCTCATTTTCCTCCAAGCCGGTCGCCAGGCAGTTTTGAAGCTCTGATGGGTGAACTCCGAAGTGCATGTAGGCGTCCGCCAGATCGGCACTGATGAGCTCAAACTCCCAGTTCTCGCTCCCATGTTTGGTCATTCGGATTCGTAGCCGGTAGAGTTCCCTCAGGGAGCCGACCACGTCAGAGATTCTTGGTAAAATGATCCTCTCGGGCACTCTCGCTCGATCATTGCCTCCCGACCGGAGCAGGTCGATGATGATCCGCAGCTTCTTCACTCCGGAGTCCTTCGCCTTTGTAATAAGGGCCAACTTGCTGAGGATGGCCCTGTGGAAGTGTTGTCTCGCCTCCCCTTTCGTCAGGTAGGCGGCGAACCCTCTGGACACCAGTCTGTCCAGTTCTTGTCGTGCACCTTCAGCATCGTCTTGCATGGATTTGTAATTGCCCATGCCAAGTTGCACTTCCAGCTCTGGGGCTAATTGTGCCTGCTCGGACTCTTCCTCTGCCGGCGGAAAGACGCCTCCAGAATCCGGTATCTCAGCGTCCATGCCAAGAGGAGCACCCGTCACGGCCCACACGTGCAAGTGCTCATCGGGGTCTCGGGAGTACTTCTGCCAGGCCTTCCACATAGGGGCGTTCAGTGGAGACTGAAAGCCAAATTTGCCCTTCAACTTGACCGATGACCCCGTCTCCACCTTGAGGAGCCTCCCAAGCCGTAAGGTCCAGTCTTTGGCCACCCTGTCGTCCAAGCAGCAACGATCTGAGCCGCAAGACCTTGCTGCTTCCAAAGCTGCAGGGTTCTCCTTCAAGAAGGCGTTCCACAAGCGTAGAATGTCCTGTCCCGCTTCCTTGACCAGTCCCAGCCGCTTGACAGCCATACTCGGGTTTCTCATGCCCCCCACAAAGTACTGGTTCTGGAAGTCCTTCCTGGCCTTCTTTGTGTTCTTGTTGGGGTCCGGCAAGTGGTCCTGCATGATGTCCTCCTCGCCCCAAGATCTTTTGTTCCCCCTCATCTTCCTCATGGTGTCATTGTCATCGTCAACCACCATGCCCGTGTGCTTCTCCTTCGACCGGATCCAACTCCTCTGGAGCTGTCAGTTCGGCCCGGTGGAACTTCTCGAGGTGTCTCCACCACTCCAAGTTGAGCGTCGTCCTGAAGACTTGGATGAGGAGTCTGGCGTACTCCATGGCGAGGTCGTTCGGGTACCTGGCCGACTCCGACGTCCTCCTCTTGCCGACCAGCGCTTGATGCTGGAAGTCTCTCGGGCATGAGCACTTCCTCCGCAAGGACTCCAGCCCGTTGAGCCTGCCCCCAAACTGAGCGGGCTTCAGCCAACGCACCCGCTCCTTGCGATGAAATGCGCATGAATTGAACCAGGCTTTGATGCATTGGAACTTCTCCATGAAGTCGGTGAACCTCCGGTAAAGCCCACATAGAGCCCTCCGTTTGAGACTCGCTGCCAGGGGGATTCTCCAGCGTCGCCGCCTCAGGAACCTTCCTTCTTCTCTGAGACTGAATTATCTCCCCCAGCAGCAAGGTCGTCCTGATGGCCAGCGTCGACCCACGATCTGCTTCAGCTTGCTGTCGAGGAGTGTTCGACGGAAGTCCATAAATCCACTCCAAGTTTCTCCTGGCTTGTGCCTCACGATGGAGAAAGAACCGCAAGGAGGCCTGGCATGCCCTGCATCAAGTTCTCCATTGCGGCAATTATCCAACACATCCCCATACGGCTGTTCCTGCATGAGGTCGGCGGCATGCTCCCCTTCCAGGTCAAAGGAGTAGCATTTGACAGTCATGCCATCCAACGCCGCTAGCCTCCTCACTGCTGAGCTCAAGACATCATCCTTGCCCGAAAAGAAATGGGCAAAAGTGAAAATCCTCTTCTGCTTGTACTCCGCGAAGTTGGCTAAGGCCTTAAGAGCATTGGTGACTCTCTCAGGCCACCAAACTTCTGCACAGCCCTTCTCTCTGCTCTCCGTCTTCACCTCGGTGACGACCGTCTCCGTCTTCGTTGTCCCCGCCGCCTCACCGCCAATCGGCACGGCATTGGCCTCTGTAGCCACATTGCCACTAGGCTCCCTGACAGGCGAGTCGGCCGAAAAGTCAGGGGCCTCGCTTTCACTGCTGCTACTGCTGAGCATTGCGGCTCCAACATCACCGCAACTGACAAACATAAATCCAAATCAAAAATCTTCTCAACCTTCCTCAAATGAAATTCACCTACCTGAACATGACAACAAAAACCAGTAACAAACAAAATGCCGCACCACTAAGAAAACCCCCTCCCCATTTCTTCCTTCCACAAGGCTCCCAAAGCCCATCCTTGGGGCAGGCTGTGGGCGAAAGCCACTTTTGGCTTCCACAACTCCCTCAAGCCTTCTTCGGGCAGTCACTGTTTCTGTGACCAGGGGAGAGGCAGTGCTGGCACTTATGGGCCCTCTTTTGAGCCTGAAGGCAAGGTGCGCCAGGCTCCACGTTTCCGCAGGGCCCAGAACCATTTGCGAAGGAGTAGCAAATCTGCACTCCCGCTTGGTCCTTACTCTTGCCCTTGCCCTTAGACTTCGATGATCCCGCACCTTGTCCACCGTGTCCAAGCTTCCGCAACTTGTCCAGCTCTTCTCGTTCCAATTTGATCCTCTTAGCTCTCGCCAACCTCTTGTCTCGGTTAGCTTGTTTTCTTCTTGGCTCCACGGTGTCCTCCTTGTCCACCTCTAAGGCGTCTAGTCCCCCCGGAAGGTGTGATAGCGCCACCTGTTCTGATGGAGCCAGGGCTACACCTCGTCCACCGCTCACCAGCGAGGCAGCAGCTGGATGCCGTACCTGCTCATCCCAATATTCGTTGTCGAGGGCCAGAGCTTTGAAACAGCACGTCCACGGTCTGTCCTTGTCCCAATCAGACGGCACCTGTCTGCCTCCAGCTTCGTCCACCACAAATTGCCTGCGAAGCTTCTCAAGGCGTTCTGCGCGTCCCTTGTCATCGGCCAGGACAATCAGATGCCAGCATTTAGGCCATTGCATGACCAGCCTCTCGATGGTCTTCTCATAGAGCTGCAGGGCTGCCAACGACGCCGCGTCCAGCATGATGAGGGCCACCTTGTAAACCTTCCAGGACGATAACCACTGCAGCATGTTCTGTGGCCCTGGCATCTCCTTGACCACATAGGTGCCATCACCAACCGGCATAAAGGCTCTGAACTTCTGCGCCTTCTGAGTCCTCCTTGCAAATGGAAGCCAGGCCCCAAAGTCGGCGTATGGAGGCTGTCTCAGCACATACACGCGTTTGTGCAGCGCTGACAGCTGAGCTTCATTGGGCTCTTCCTCTTCCAATGGGGCTGCTCCCATCACGGCCACATAGGCATTCGCCCACTTGTCCAAGTCCGACCTCGAGGCCAGGAGCAATTCTGAATCATCAGCTTGATCCACCACGCTCGACATCTTCAAGATGTCGGTCCTTGACCTGTGTAGATGGGGTAGCCATATTGCCCTGGGATTGTTCCTTCAACTTGTCCGTCGCCTCATTGGCCCAAGGGTCAACATCCACAAAAGCTTCTTCAGGAAGTCCGGCCCACGCATGTACTACCTTTCTGCAAGTCCGCCAAACCAATCCAACATGAGTAGCTTGCACGGCCGTCAGCATGTCCCCCGACGTCAAAGTAGCTTGAACGCAGCCCTGGATCACCACCGTACGGGGTAGGGCTGCTAGAATGCGAATATGGGGACCTGGATCTCCAACTTGATGGATGAATGCCTGCCATAACGGCTCGGCTAGATGCAAAGTCTGCAGCACGTCGGCCACTGTCGCTACTCCCTGAAGATCAGAGAAGGACGGCAAAGCACTCGCGGACATACCTACCCTCAAACGAGTAGGAAGTCCTACCCTAAAAGAAATCCCATGGCTACTAGTCAGTAGCCCTTGCAGCCAAAATGGCATTAATTTCATTCATTGAATTTCCACCACCTCCATGTCTTTCTTGTTCATTGTCATGCGCAAATGTGATTTGCTATGCAAAAAAAAATCAGAATCCAAAAAAATCATAAACTCAAAAAAATAGAGTCGAGAAAATTTAGAAAATTCAGAATCCAGAAAATTCAGGAAATCCAAAAGAAAATCCAGAAACTTTACAGAAGCAAAACAAAAAACATAAAATTCAGAAAATCAAAACAGCATAGAATCCAGAAAATTCAGAAAATGCAAAAAAAAATCCAGAAACTTTTAGAAAATTCAAAATTCAAAAAAAAAACGAAAAAACTAGAATCTGGAAAAAATAGAAAATCCAGAATCCAGAAAATTCAGAAAATCTTTTAAAACATAGATTCCAGAAAATTTAAAAACCAAAAACAAATGGAATCTAGCAAATTCAGAATCCAGAAAATTCAGAAATCGAAAAAAAATAGAATCCAGAAAAATTATAAAAGCGCAAAAGTAACAATCCACAAAATTCAGACAATCAAAAAAAATAGGATCCAGAAAATTTAGAAACAAAAAAAATGGAATCTAGAAAATTAGAAAACTCAGAATCCAGAAAATTCAGAAAATTCAGAATTCAGAAAATTCAGAAAACTCAGAAAATTCAGAAAATTCAGAATTCAGAAAAAATCAGAAAAAAAAAACATAGAATCCAGAAAATTTAGCAAAAAAACAGAAAATTTAGAAAACCTGAAAAAACAGAATCCAGAAAATTTAAAAAACACCACAAAAGTTAGAATCCAGAAAATTTAGAAAACCAAAGAAAAATAGAATCGAGAACAATTAGAAAATTCAGAATCCATAAAATTTTGAAAATCCAAAAAATTAGGATCCAGAAAATTCTTAAAAAACAAAATCCAGAAAATTTGGAAAATACAAAAAAGTTAGAATCCAAAAAAAAATGAAAACCAAAGAAAAATAGAATCTAGAAAAAATAGAGAATTAAGAATCCAGAAAATTCAGAAAATCAAAGAAAAATAGACTCCAAACAATTTAGAAAATCCAAAAGAAAATAGAATCCAGACATTTTAGAAAATAAAAAAATACTTTACTTCGTCTGATCCCCACCATGACATTTATCGATTTGTTACTGGCAAATCTTCTGGCATTCTATCTGACATATCTTCTGGCATTCGATCTGGCATTCTATCTGGCATACCTTCTGGCATTCTACCTGGCATATGTTCTGGCATATCTTCTGGCATTCTATCTGGCATATCTGCTGGCATATCTTCTGACATCCTATCTGGCATTCTATCTGGCAAATCTTCTGGCATTCTATCTGGCAAACATTCTTGCACTTTATTTGGCATACCTTCTGGCATTCTATCTGACATTCTATCTGGCATACCTTCTGGCATTCTATCTGGCATATTTTCTGGCATATGTTCTGGCATATCGTCTGGCATTCTATCAGGCAAATCTTCTGGCATTCTATCTGGCAAACATTCTTGCACTTTATTTGGCATACTTTCTGGCATTCTATCTGACATTCTATCTGGCATACCTTCTGGCATTCTATCTGGCATATCTTCTGGCATTCTATCTGGCATATCTTCTGGCCCCGAGAGCACGAGTCACAGACACGGGGAAAGGTTTGGGGTTGTGGTTGAGGTCCGGCAGGGAACACTGGGCGGGGATGGTCGTGGTTGAGGTCCGGCAGGGAACACTGGGCGTGGATGGTCGTGGTTGAGGTCCGGCAGGGAACACTGGGCGGGGATGGTCGTGGTTGAGGTCCGGCAGGGAACACTGGGCGTGGATGGTCGTGGTTGAGGTCCGACAGAGAACACTGTGCGTCGAGGGTCGCGGTTGAGCAGGAGGAGGAGGAGAGGAGAGGAGGAGAGGAGAGGAGGAGAGGAGCAGGCAACTGACATAAAATCTAACAACCCTCACCTGGCAGGTGGGGAAATAGAATTCAGAAAATCTAGCCAAAACAAGTTAGAATCCAGACAATTTAGAAAACCAAAAAAGAAATAGAATCTAGAAAAAATAGAACAATCAGAATCCAGAAAATTCAGAAAATCAAAAACAAATAGAATCCAGAAAAATCATAAAAGCAGAAAAAATAGAATCCAGAAACTTTTGATAACTTACAATTTCAAATAATTACAAAATTTCAAAAATTTAGATAATTTAGAATTCAGTAAATTTAGAATTTTAAAAAAGGAAAACACATTCCTCTGAGGAAGCTACATTCAACCTGAAAGATTCATTGCAGAAACTTTCCATTTCAGGAACTACATCCTTTTCAGGAGCTATCGTTTCAACATCTTGAGTTTCTAGATTTTTTTTTGTTATATATATACATATATATTTTCCAACATATTTTACTTCACAATCGTTACGAGCAGCTATGAGGGAATCTATAGTATGACTCGCAGCCATACTTTAGCAGCTAGTCTGTGCTGAACCGCTGCTTCTTTCTCTGCCATGGCGCCCAAGGCAAAGGATATAGTTCCTGAAAAGGATGGTTCCTGAATAGGAAAATATCCTGAAAAGAATAATAGATGCTTAAAAAATATGCAAACCTACCCAAAACTTTTTACTTATTTCTGATAATCGATTGTGTTTTTCGAAATGTGTAAAAGAAAAATCCTTCGTCTATTCTCAGTTCTGACCCTTTAAAACATATCAAAAAATAAGTTAAAATAAGTGAAAATAAGTTCTATGATAAGTTCAAATAACTACTAATATTTTCATTAAATGCCTGAAGTGAAAACATCTTCCATTTGAGGTCTTAGTATATGTATATATATATTTAAATATAAAGAAAATTTATAAAAATAAGATACTTCAGAAAATTTCGAAAATTTAGAAAATTTAGAAAATCCAGAAAATTCAGAAAAATCAAAAAAATAGAAAATTCAGAAAATTCAGAAAATTCGAAAAATTCAGAAGATTCCTGTAAACAATAGCCAACGTATAAATCTTCGAATGCATTTTTCCTATCTTTCAAACTGTGTGAAAAGAAAAACATTCGTGTATTACCAGTTATTAACCTTTAAAAAATATCAAAAAATAAGTTAAAATAAGTGAAAGTAAATGAAAATGAGTGAAAATAAATAAAAATAAGTAAAAATAAGTTCAAATAAGTTCTATGATAAGTTCAAATAAGTACTAATATTTCCATTAAGTGCCTAAAGTGAAAATATCTTCCATTAGTGGTCTTAGTACTGTATCTTTGGCATATGCTTTGGCCAGGGGTGCAGCAAGTGTCTCTGACATGCTCGCGTGCTGGCGAGTGCTACGAATCTACGATAATTCATGCATCTGGATCCGCCAGCCAATATCTGACATGGCGAGGCATCCTTGATGAAAGGGCAGCGGGCAGCATATTGGAAGCACAAGAGGGTGCCTTGAGAGCAGCATTGGCAGCAATCAAAAGTGCCCTGAGAGGCGGCTGACTGTCAGCATTGGTGAAGTCTTGGCTCGTCCACTGGCTGGCCGCTCGGATGAGGCAACTGGTCGTGAACGCATGTTGCCAGTGCCGGGCCGTGTCCTCGGAAGCAAACCACTCTGAGTGCCCTGTTTGACTGGAGTCTGTAGAGCCCTTCCGCATATCTCAGGCCCTGGGAGATCGTGCGTGGAGGACTCTCCAGGTCCAGGGAACACTGTTTGCCTCAGGGTTTGTGAAGTCCAAGCCTGCCCAGGACCTGAGCCAAGAGTTGCTGCTCGATTGATGCCACGTTTGGCAATGCCCTGGATCTTTTTGGCCTCGAAGGAGCCCAAGGAGCCGAGCGATCGCATCGATCGCATCGAGGTCTTGATTCTTTCGCTTCTTGGTCTCACTGGCTTGGCTTCCAGGGCGCCAGCGCCTTCGCCAGCGCCTTCGCCAGCGCCCTCCCTTTCCTTTGCACACTGATCTTTGGTCTGGTCCTTCTGCGAGTACCCTACCTGCAAAGGAGATGACAGAAGGACAGCAGCACCATGAAGTTCCAACGCGGCATTGACTGCTGCCATCGGATGCATGGCCAAGCACTGAAGAATGTGTAGAAAAGCAGCTGACGAATTACCTTTGTTGCGCGCAAATCATGGTACAAAAAACAAATGTTGGATCTGGGCACGCATTCACACATGTTGGCATCAGGAGAACGAAAGAGTGCCAAAACCAAAAGAGAGATCAAGGATAGCTTTTTGCACAAAGAATCCCAGACACCAAGCAAACGCATTTGGTTCTCGGCCTGAACACGCATGCGCCGCAAAGCATCTTGATACAATCGTTCAAAGACATCACGGCCTTTCACGAAACCGGTAAGACCCGACGCATCCAGTGCTTCTTCGGCTTCTTTATGTAGGCCCGTTTTCTGCAGCACAGATTGCATAGTCTTCAGCTTTTTCCGCATTTCAGCCATCAAGCCATCAGCTCTTTTCGCTTCTTCTTCCAACTTCTCCAACGCTTGTTCCGCCCTTAGTCTTTGCCGTTCAGCTTCCTCCCGGGCAGCCCGAAGCTCAGCTTCCAGCTGAGCGCGCAATCGCTCCAACTCAGCCCGAAAGTCATCATCTCGTCCTGGTGCAGATGGTGCAGTCCTTTCCTGGGCAGTAGGAAGTACCATGGTACCTGTGGTGTTCACGCTCACAGACCGGCGACCACCTCTCGCTGCAGCTTTGGAGAGCGCTCGAAAGCAACTGTGGTGCACCGGGCGTTTGGCTTACCATAGGCAGCAGCTCCGGAGGCTTAATCATCGCCGTATGCCTCACCCGGTTGCAAAATCCCCATCGCCAAGGTAATTTCACTCCTTCCAGAATAACATATCATGACATACCCGCAACATCATCACCAGCAGAAAGGCCACAAGATGCCACAAGACATGACCGAACAAAGGAACCAAAGAGCCAAAGTTCACCAAAGAAGTTCAGCATAGTTCAGGAATCGAGCCACCTCTTCAATCCCATCCGCTCGAGTTCGGCTCGTAATTCCTCCAACTCCTCCAGCAATGGCGTGACATACTGCTCTGTCCTCAGCAGTTCGGACAAGGTTTGGGGCCCGGACCAGGATAGGCACAAGGCAAGACATGGCAAGACATGGCTCAGTTGCATCTCACTAGATCTAGGATCATGGTTTTGAGGACTCCGCCACGACATAAACCCCAATTTACATCAAATCTACAAGTCGTGAATCCATTTATTGTACAGCTCATCCACCTCTCGCTGGCTGTAGATATTCTCTTCCTGCTTGTCAAGGGAAATGCTGGTCATGGCTGGCGGGAATGATTGTGTAAACAACCACTGATTCACCTCGGATCATCTGATCTGCTGTGTTGTGATTACCTCTCAACGCAACCTGAGTGCCCCCAAACAAGGCACACTCCTACACACAGGCGTGGCTGATTGAGGGTTCTAAGCGGCTTGGATCTGTTGGCAGATACTCCTTCCGTCAAAATGAATCAGGAACTAAGGAACGTTAATAGACCCCCCACCCACCCACTAAAACCTTAGCATGGAAACCTACTCAATGCTGTAATGTATGTAAATTTAGAAATTGCATACAAATCGCTACAACATGCTACAGCTGCACTTTGATTTCCGGCTCCTCCGCAGAATCATGGTCGCTGATTCAAGAAATCTGGTCGCTGATTCGTGGTGTCTGATTCGTGACATGATTGCTATTGATTGCTCGTTTTCCTTCAGCTGGCTGGTGCCCTTCACCGGATCCGATCCTCATCGTTGAGGTTGATTCCCAAAAGTGCCTCCGCTCTTCGTTTCATCTTGAACTCATTCCTCAGCTGCAAGTGGTTTGGCCAGAAGTCGTAGCTATCCCACAATGGCCAAGACCATCTGCAACGCCGGTGCAAAAGAAGGATGGAAGAGTTCGATACAGTTGGATGTTGGATATAGATGAATATAGTTGGATAGTTTAGGATAGTTTAGGGGTTGTCATGGTATAGTGCCTATAATGAATGTCCTGAAACATCCTGAAACTAACAGCTGTCAGACTCATCATAACCTCAACTCAGATTCCACCTCTCATCAGTGGCTTTGGAGCGCCTCAAGGCCTCCCCGTGGGACTCCTGGCCAGGAGACGAGACTCCAAGATCTGAGACTGTCTGTATGTCAAAGGCAGGGGGTCATCTAGAAATCGAACATCCAACTTTGATGCAATTCTCACTTTAGTCTCAATAGTCAAGTTTGCAATAGTGTATATTTTTGATTGTACAATTATTACTATACATATGGTTATTAGCATCAATCTAATTAATGTTGGCTACCGATTAGTGTGATGGACCTCTATTGTGGAAAGTTTTCCAAAATAATTTAGTATCCTGTGGATGGTGTGGGTGAGGCTCTATTGGGGAAAGTTTTTTCTCAGATCCATTTTTTTCAGGAGGAGTTTTATCCACCTTTATACACCTTTCTTTGGGAAAACTTGTCCATTTACTTTAGAAAGCCATATCCATGTTAAAGCCTTCAAATTTCTCAAATAGTTAGATGCCTTATTAAACCCTTTTTAAAAAACAACGCCAAAAACACTTTTTCAAGGGGGTACCCCATGAGTGACCCAGATCCTCAATAATGCAATTGTTTCGATGGTTCCCTATTGTGCACAAAAACTTTTGGGGTGAAACAAAACACAAAACCTTTTATCCACCTTTCTTTTGGTAAAGCTGGTTCATTTACTTTGGAAAGCCATATCTTGGACTGTCCCCCCTTACACTAACAGTCACCACAATGCAGACCACAAATCAAAAAACACACAAGCACGATGGACCCAAAATGCCATTGAGAAGTTGGGTTGGCACATTTTGTCAGTCTACCAACCCACAAAGAAGTTTGGTTTTTCACAGCATGAACCCACTAGTTCATAAAGAAATTGGGTTTGTATATACTTTGACCGGAAAAGGCCAATGAGAGCTTAGGTCTGTATATTGAAAAATCCTGGGCAATCCAGTACAGAGACTCCCTATCGAACCAAAGGAGGCCCACCAAATAAATGGGTTTATGCTTTGTAGGCTGCCCTAGTCTTTACTTTGAAAAGCTTTGCTTCTCAGTTTAAAAGTATCATTGGCCGAAGGTTTTTCATATCGAATCATATGAATCACATGAATCATTTCATTGACTTGGCTGCCTGGTGTTCAAGCTAACCTGGGGCGCACAGGTGCCAGAGATGGCCACACTAACGGGTGCCAGAGCTGGCCACACTAACAGGTGCCAGAGATGGCCACACTAACGGGTGCCAGAGCTGGCCACACTAACGGGTGCCAGAACTGGCCATACTAACGGGTGCCCGAGCTGGCCACACTAACGGGTGGCACGGCCCTCAAGCAGGATCCAGGCTCAGGCTGGGCTGGCAGGCCCTAGTCGACTGCAGGTTCAGGACAACCTGGGGATTTGGGGGGGGCTGCGGTTGTAAACTTTTGGGCTGGGAAGTTGTGCTTTTTAAGCCTAAACGTTGTGGTTATTTTTGTGTTTTTTCTTGTGGTTAGTTGTGCTGTTTGTTGTGCTAATTTTTGTGATCAAATCATCAGGGAAGTTGTGCACTTTTTTGTGCTTTTTTGTTGAAGTTGTGAGTTTTGTTGTGCTAGTTTTTGTGATCAAATCAGCAGGGAAGTTGTGCATTTTTTGTGTGTTTTTGTTGATGAAGTTGTGGTCGGTGCCAAATATAAAATCAATTAGATGTTTTTATTTTTTCCTTGGCTTGTTGTTGTGCAAAAATGATCGGGGAAGTTGTGCTCTTTAAGCCTAAATGTTGTGGGTTTTGTTGTGCTTTTTCTTGTGGTTAGTTGTGCTGTTTGTTGTGCTAATTTTTGTGATCAAATCATCAGGGAAGTTGTGCACTTTTTGTGCGATTTTTGCATGGGAAGTTGTGCTTTTGATATTTTCTACCTTTTCCAAAAGCACGGCCGAGAGCACAAAAAAAACACAACATCAAGCAAGGGTTTTCCCTTAGCAAAATTTGTCCTTTAGCAAAACTTGTCACTGAAAAATTTGTCCCTTAGCAAAATTTTCCCCTTAGAAAAACTTGTCCCTTATCAAAATTTGACCCTTAGAAAAACTTGTCACTGAGCAAAATTTGTCCCTTAGCGAATTTTGTCCCTTAGCAAAATTTGTCCCTTAGCAAAACTTGTCCCTGAGCAAAACTTGTCCCTTAGCAAAACTCGTCCCGGAGCACAATTTGTCCCTTAGCAAAATTGGTCCCTTAGCAAAACTTGTCCCTTAGCAAAATTTGCCCCTTAGCAAAACTTGTCGCTGAAAAAATTGCACCTTAGCAAAATTTGTCCCTTTAGCAAAATTTGTCACTTAGCAAAACTTGTCCCTTAGCAAAATTTGTCCCTTAGCAAAACTTGTCCCGTAGCAAAATTTGTCCCTTAGCAAAACTTGTCACTGAGCAAAATTTGTCCCTTAGCAAAATTTGTACCTTAGCAAACTCGCCCCTGCACTGCTGCCATTCCCTTGGCCCAAAAGGGATTTTATCCAACAACATCTCTGCAAGCTCCAACTGAATAGATTTGATCTGGTTCCAAGTAGGCTGCCACCAGAGTGATTTCATACTTCGGTTCAACATCAGAAAAATTTGGATTGAGAAGATTGGGCCTCTCAAATTGTTTGTGGTTTTAAGGTCCCTGGGTTGTTGTGCAATTTTGGCTGGGAAGTTACAATTAAAATCCATTATTCCACTGTTAGTGGGGGGGTCACTCCAAGCCATATCCATGTTAAAGCCTTGAACATGCAAGGTTTCTCACATAATTAGATGCCTTATTAAACCCTTATTAAAAAACAGCCCCCAAACAATTTTTTAAGGGGGTATCAAATGAGTGACCCAGAGCCTCAAAAATGCAATTGTTTCGATGGTTCCCTATTGTGCACAAAAACTTTTGGGGTGAAAAAAACACAAAACCTTTTACCCACCTTTCTTTTGGTAAAGCTGGTCCATTTACTTTTGGAAGCCATATCCATGTTAAAGCCTTGAACATGCAAGGTTTCTCACATAATTAGATGCCTTATTAAACCCTTATTAAAAAACAGCCCCCAAAACAATTTTAAAAGGGGGTACCAAATGGGTGATCCAGACCCTCAATAATGCAATTGTTTCGATGGTTCCATATTGTGCACAAAAACTTTTGGGGTGAAACAAATCACAAAACCTTTTATCCACCTTTCTTTTGGTAAAGCTGGTTCATTTACTTTAGAAAGCCATATCCATGTTAAAGCCTTGGACATGCAAGGTTTCTCACATAATTAGATGCCTTATTAAACCCTTATTAAAAAACAGCCCCCAAACAATTTTTTAAGGGGGTATCAAATGAGTGACCCAGATCCTCAAAAATGCAATTGTTTCGATGGTTCCCTATTGTGCACAAAAACTTTTTGGGGTGAATATTTTTTTGATTAAAAAGGGAAATCAATTCAAAGTAGATTCAAACGAATTGAAAGTAAATTGGTTTCATGTGAAATCCTTTCTTATCAATAGATTTCTTTGAAGTTTAAAATGGAAAATCAATTAAAAGTAGATTCAACTGAATTGAAAGCAAATGGATTTCAATTGAAATCCTTTCTTATCAATAGATTTCTTTGAGGTTTAAAAGGAAAAGCAATTAAACGTAGATTGGTTTCAATTGAAAGTTTTTCTTATCAAGGGATGTTTTTGAGGTTTAAAAGGAAAATCAATTGAAAGTAGATTCAAATGAGTTGAACGCAAATTGATTTCAAATGAAATCCTTTCTTATCAATAGATTTTTTTGAGGCTTAAAAGGAAAATCAATTGAAAGCAGATTCAAATGAATTGTAAGCAAATTGATTTCAATTGAAATCCTTTCTTATCAAGAGATATTTTTGAGGTTTAAAAGGAAAATCAATTCAAAGTAAATTGATGTCAATTGAAATCCTTACTTAAGTTGACTACCCTAAAAATTGATGAGGGGAGGTCGTCAAAAATGGTCGTTCATTGAGTATAGACGTAAATTGTTGAGGGGGGAGGGGGGGAGGGCCCCACACTAATCAGTAGCCAACATTATACGTGTTTCATATTATTTGATCACCACCGTTTTCAGGTGGGGGGACGTACCCAAAATGTAAGCTACATGTTTCAAGGTGTTTTTGAGGGGGGCCTTGAAAATGTAATTGTGATATGATATTTGTATTTAACTATGTGTTCCGTACCTTTCCCTTTACCATAGCATTCATTTTGCGTACAAGATTATTCTCAACCTTGCTGCTAATGTCCTCGTTCTCTTGAATTTTGGCTTCAGCCACCTTCAGCTTTTCCCGCAAACACCGCTTTTCACGCTCAGAATCCAGGATGAACATGTGGTAGAAAGATAGAAGTTCAGCCAACCTAAGGAGCAAGAAGCATAGAAATCATACAATTTTCACTGTGGACAATGGCCTTGTCCGACCTTGTGAGAGCATGCTATTTCTTGAAAACAAAACTTTTCAGCAAGCAGGGACTGACTGCTCCGTCTAGCAAATCAAAATTTGAATCCATGCATGCAGCGTTGGTACATCCTGGTATATACACCATCCTGAATTATCCTAACTATTCCTAACTTATTTGCTTGCCGTGGGCGGAACAAGGTGGCAAACGCACGGAACTGGCGATCCCAAAAATCTTTCAATGCGTCCAATCAGCTTCTGCAACCACTGCCTCAAATCACGGCAAACTTCCGCGGTCATGCCATCAGTGTATCCTTGAAGCAACCTGGGCGGCTTGCCAATTGATCAAACCTTTCACCAAACTTCACACACGAACTACTGAGAAAATTATCTTTCTTAATCTTCGGAAAGGCTTTGTTTGCTACAGACTTCTGAATCCATGTGATCCCTACGCACACGATGTAAAGGCCTTAATAGTATAGTTCAAAGGCAGTGGAGCAAATGGTGGCCCGCTGACGCGTGTGCATGTGTACCTATCATGGTGTCTACTGTAATTGTTATCATAGTGATTCAATATTATCAACACAAATCAACACAATTGAGCGGTGTTGAAAACCCTTTTGCAATTTTGTTATAATCCCACGTGGCTTCCGCGGAGCTTTCGCGGTACTTACGCAACCACACGTTTAGCTTTCGTGGACGCTGTGTCCATCATGTTTGCTTTCGCGCAGCTCTCGCGGATAAGTTAAAACTAGGGGGGCGTAATTAAGTTTGCAATCATTTATTTATTTATTTACAGTATCTATTTATTCATTTATTTATTTATTTTGTCGTCCAGGTTCCTGTCCTTGGTTTTTGCAGCTAAATCTCTCATTTGCTGCATTTTGTAGCTAAAATCTCTCATTCACACTGGTCATCAAGTGCAAACTATAAATTGTAGATGTAAAGAGGTATATATGCATGATAATCATGACTATATGTAAATGTAGATCAATGTATTTACACGTGTATTTACGCGTGTATTTACACGTGTATTTAATATATATATATATATGCAGGGTTTGGTTTAGTGTTTATTTAGGGTTGGTTTATGGTTTCTTCTAGATTTGTTTAGGGTCTATTTAGGGTTGGTTTAGGGTTTCTTTAGGGCTGGTTTAGGGTCTGATCGGGTTTTGTTTAGGGTTGGATTAGGGGTTACTTAGGGATACAACATGTACATACAAATAAGTACAATTAAGTGGATGCATATCCATGCGCATGATTATTTATAGTTTAATATAGTTTATCTTGGGATGAAAGCTGTGTAAATAAACAACCATAAACATGTCATATATATATATGTGTACCTGCAAATATAAATGTATGTGTATGTAAATATACTTCAATTTATAGATGTATATATGTGTATATATATATATATATGTAAAAATCAAGTAAATACACAAGTATATATATAGATATATGTAAATATAAAGAAAATATACACGTATATATATATATGCATGTAAATATATATATAGATAGATAGACATATGTAAATATATATATGTGTGTGTAAATGTCTAAGAAATATATATTATATATACATGTACATATAATACAAATATAAATATATATATATATATATAATAGGCACCCATGACTTAGGACTTAGGTCACCATAGTGACATAGGAGTTTGTGCACCAAGTCCTAAGTCACTGGTGTTCTTACCAGGTGATTTGTGTGCACCAAGTCCTAAGTCACTGGGGTTATGATTGGACTTAAGCACTTTTTCAGGTTAAAAAAATAAAAAATCTTCTCTTAATAAGTCATCAGAACCTACATACTTACATTACATTACAGTACAGTAAATTACATCACACTACGGTACATTACATTACATTACCGTAAAGTACAGTACATCACATTACACTACAGTACACTACATTACATTATAGCACATTACAGTACATTACATTACATACATGCACAGGACTTGGTGCACAAAATCGTCTGTCACTAGAGGGGCACAAGTCCTAAGTCATCAGAACCTACATACTTACAGTACGTTGCAGTACAGTACAGTACATTACATTACATTACAATACATAATATGTTAAACAAAAATAAATAAACAAAAAGAATGCATATATAAAAAAATGCAGTATTCGAAAAAATATTTCAAAAATGAAAAAACAAAAAACAAAAAACATATATCTATATTTTTGTTTATTTCTGTAATTGTTTTAAAATAATGCCTGTATGTAAATCGAAGGAAAAAAATGAAAATCACAGTTTTTTTTTGAATTATTTTTTTGAAGATGGGCACAAGTCCTAAGTCATCAGTTTTCGCAACGGTTGGCTCGAGGACTTCGGCCCAACAACGGGGTAGTGCAACGGGGTAATACAACGGGGACCACAATAGGGAAGCACAACGGGGGAAACAAAACGGGAAACAGTAGAGAAAAGTGGAAAAAATGTATGTATTTTTATGCATTTTCTTATTTATTAAATTGCTTTAAAATAATGTCTGTATGTAAATCGAAGGAAAAAATGAAAATCACACATTTTTTTTGATCTATTTTTATGAAGATGGGCACAAGTCCTAAGTCATCAGTTTTCGCAACGGTTGGCTCGAGGAGTTCGACCAACAACGGGGTAGTGCAACGGGGTAATACAACGGGGACCACAATAGGGAAGCACAACGGGGGAAACAAAACGGGAAACAGCAGAGAAAAGTGAAAATAAATGTAGGTATTTTTTCTTTTGTTAAATTGCTTTAAAATAATGTCTGTATGTAAATCGAAGGAAAAAATGAAAATCACATATTTTTTTGAATTATTTTTATGAAGATGGGCACAAGTTGTAAGTCATCAGTTTTCGCAACGGTTGGCTCGAGGACTTCGACCCAACAACGGGGTAGTGCAACGGGGCAATACAACGGGGACCACAATAGGGAAGCACGACGGGGGAAACAAAACGGGAAACAGCAGAGAAAAGTGAAAAAAAATGTATGTATTCTTTGAAAATAAATTGCCTTAAAATAATGTCTGTATGTAAATCGAAGGAAAAAATGAAAATCACAGATTTTGTTTGAACTATTTTTTGAAGATGGGCACAGGTCCTAAGTCATCATCGCAATTTCTGTATGCAACGGTTAAATCTTCGATCCTGATTTTTTTAAACTATTTTTTTTGAAGATGGGCACAAGTCCTAAGTCATCAGTTTTCGCAACGGTTGGCTCGAGGACTTCGACCCAACAACGGGGTAGTGCAACGGGGTAATACAAGGGGACCACAATAGGGAAGCACAACGGGGGAAACAAAACGGGAAACAACAGAGAAAAATGAAAAGTGAAAAAAAAACACATATTTTTTTATTTTATTTAGTTGCTTTAATATAATGTTTGTACATAAGTCGAAGGAGAGAAAACGAAAATCACATATTTTTGAAATATTTTTTTTGAAGATGGGCACAAGTCCTAAGTCATCAATTTATCATTCGATTTATATACATACATTGCTTTCAAGGTATTAAATATATTTAACATTTATATCATTTATATACATTTGTGGATATGACTATTCTATTTTTTTTCGTTTTCATTTTTCCATTTTGTTTCCCGTTTTGTGTCCCCGTTTTGTTTCCCCGTTGTGTCTCCCCGTTGTGTCTCCCCGTGGTGTCTCCCCCAGGCGGTGATCCCAATGCAACGAGTCGGGGTGAGCGTTTTGCGCCAACGCGCGCGCGCGTTGGTGGAAAATGAAAGCGAGCAGTTCCCGGTCGCCTCTGCAGTCCCTGTGGCGCCGCAGTGGGGTGAACAACGGGGTAAGACAATAGGGAAGCACAACGGGAAAAAAAACAGGAAACAGCAGAGAAAAGTGACAAAAAATATATATATTTTTATTTATTAAATTGCTTTAAAATAATGTCTGTATGTAAATCGAAGGAAAAAAATGAAAATCACAGATTTTTTTTAAACTATTTTTTTTGAAGATGGGCACAAGTCCTAAGTCATCAGTTTTCGCAACGGTTGGCTCGAGGACTTCGACCAACGGGGTAGTGCAACGGGGTAATACAACGGGGACCACAATAAGGACAACAGGGGAAAAAAAACGGGAAACAGCAGAGAAAAGTGAAAAAAAAAGTAGGTATTTTTTCTTTTGTTAAATTGCTTTAAAATAATGCCTGTATGTAAATCGCAGGAAAAAAATAAATCACACATTTTTTTTGAACTATTTTTTTGAAGATGGGCACAAGTCCTAAGTCATCAATTTTTTCAACGGTTGGCTCGACGACTTCAACCCAACAACGGGGTAGCGCAACGGGGTAATACAACGGGGACCACAATAGGGAAGCACAACGGGGGAAACAAAACGGGAAACAGCAGAGAAAAGTGAAAAAAAATGTATGTATTCTTTGAAAATTAAATTGCCTTAAAATAATGTCTGTATGTAAATCGAAGGAAAAAATGAAAATCACAATTTTTTTTTGAATTATTTTTTTTGAAGATGGGCGCAAGTCCTAAGTCATCAGTTTTCGCAACGGTTGGCTCGAGGACTTCGACCCAACAACGGGGTAGTGCAACGGGGTAATACAACGGGGACCACAATAGGGAAGCACAACGGGGGAAACAAAACGGGAAACAGTAGAAAAAGGTTTATTAAATTGCTTTAAAATAATGTCTGTATGTAAATCGAAGGAAAAAAAATAAATCACACATTTTTTTTGAACTATTTTTTTGAAGATGGGCACAAGTCCTAAGTCATCAATTTTTTCAACGGTTGGCTCGAGGACTTCAACCCAACAACGGGGTAGCGCAACGGGGTAATACAACGGGGACCACAATAGGGAAGCACAACGGGGGAAACAAAACGGGAAACAGCAGAGAAAAGTGAAAAAAAATGTATGTATTTTTTATTTATTACATTAAATTGCCTTAAAATAATGTCTGTATGGAAATCGAAGGAAAAAATGAAAATCACAATTTTTTTTTGAATTATTTTTTTTGAAGATGGGCGCAAGTCCTAAGTCATCAGTTTTCGCAACGGTTGGCTCGAGGACTTCGACCCAACAACGGGGTAGTGCAACGGGGTAATACAACGGGGACCACAATAGGGAAGCACAACGGGGGAAACAAAACGGGAAACAGTAGAAAAAGGTTTATTAAATTGCTTTAAAATAATGTCTGTATGTAAATCGAAGGAAAAAAATAAATCACACATTTTTTTTGAACTATTTTTTTGAAGATGGGCACAAGTCCTAAGTCATCAATTTTTTCAACGGTTGGCTCGAGGACTTCAACACAACAACGGGGTAGCGC